CGAGTCAAAACCTGTCTGTACCCCTCCTTTCCAAAATCCTAGATTTGCTCATGATCTTTAGTGTGTGTGTATATATAGATATATATATATATAAAGAGCTCTAAAAATACAGTGCCCACAGGCAGCAATCAAGAGAGATGTCATGTAGACCAGATTTTGTTATGTTCCTCTCTTGCCAGCACAGTGAGATGGCCTCTGTTAGTAGCAGTGGTTAACATGATGAACAGATGGAAGGGTTTTATGTGCTTTTCCTCTTGGGTAACTCTAGCTGCTTCCTAACAAAAATTTTGCACAGGAGGGTTGTTCAGTCATGTTTGTGATCTGATGTGTGTAGACCTTAGGAGCCAAATACTAATTTACCTCCCAGAGATGCTCACACATCTTTTAAGCATTAAATTCACTAAATACAATCATAATTCACCCTGCACAACAGCCACCAAGTCACTAGGATGTCTCCATTTCGGCCTTTTGAGCATGCTCAGAACAGTTCCGCCAAGGCCTCCACCTCTCCTTACACTCTGCTGCGATTTTGATCCACCTGGAAATGCTTCCATTCCCTAGACGTCTGCTAATCTTGAGTCTCAGAGAAATCATGATTAGTGGCTGATGTCGGGAGAGCCCATGTACCTTACAGGCCAAGAGCCTAGTGGTTAAGGCACTTGCCCAAGCAATTAGAGACCCAGGTTGTATATGGGTTGTATATGGGTAGGCTTTACTGGAAAGCTGGCAGAGGGTAGATTCAGACTAGACATCAGGAGGCGCTACTTCACAGTCAGGGCAGCTAGGATCTGGAACCAACTTCCAAGAGAAGTGGTGCTGGCTCCTACCCTGGGGGTCTTTAAGAGGAGGGTAGATGAACACCTTGCCGCCACCATCAGCAGAGGGGGTGTGAAGTTGCATTGCCTGCTTCCCAACAGGGTCCTAACTACCAGGCCACAGTTAGGTATGGGCAAAAGTATCTCCCTTGCCCCTATGGCTGTCAAGTGTAAAGGAGCCACGGGGCCAAAAGATAAAAAGAGAGTGAGATTCAGTGCCCCAGTAAAGAGAGCACAGCCTTTGGAGCAAGACCGGGGCTCTGCCCTCTGCTCCCAATGCAGGAAAGCACTGGTAAAGAAAAAAATAGAGTTGGGAACTGTCAGGCAATAGGAGTTGTGCAGAGGAGCCCCAGAGAAGAGACACCAAGCACTGAATTTAGGCAAAAAAACAATGTGTATCTTCCCTCCCTTAGGTCTCACGAGCTCTAACCTTGTACTGGATACCTTGGGGCCCAAACCAGGAACCATTGTTTTATCTCAGATGTGACATCTTAAGTCACTGGCACCCAC